CCTCCTGTCATTGTCCCTCAGCTCTTCCATCAAAGTGTGGTACTGTCCACGTTCGGCCCTCAACTGTGGGTGGAGCAAGGGTCTAAACCACCAGTTGTGCTTCCCTTTCTTCTTAGGAGGCTCTTCTTCTTCAGGATTGGCCAGCATAAGTTGATAGGCAGTGGCCACCTCAGCATCTCTCATCATCTTCTGATGGAGCAGCATTATCACTCCAACATTATCAAAAGCCTCAGACATATCAAAATTGTAAATATTTAGTAGAGATGTTGTTCATACAGCAGCTGAGGAGGGTCTGAACCAGGTAGCCGATGGCCGGTATTTATATAGTCGGCAAGTAGCGCCAAGCGGCGGCAAGTTCAAACCAATTTGGCGACCTTTGGCACAAACTAATCACCAAGTGGCGCAAAGTAGCCGTCTATTGGCGCGAATGGCGCCAACACGGTGAATTTTGGAATCAAATGGCCGTGTAATGGCGCGAACTGGCGCAAACTGGCGCAACATTTTGGAGCAAGCCGGGTGGCATTTGGCGCACGCCATATGGCACCCAGTTTATTCCACTTGGCGACACATGCCGAGCGGACATTAATTCGGCGCCACAGCGAGCCACTACGCGCCAATCACATAATCTTTGGCGCAAACTGGCGCCAACTGGCGCCGGCCCAGTGGACTCCTAGCATTACGGAGCCCGACAGAGTCGAGCCGGTAATTATAAACGAGCCTGTCCGAGAGACACTAGTAGCGCTCCCTAACTTACCTGCCGCCACACTGAATAAACGAGTGGTCGGCTTGACAAACACCCCTCCCGTAGCTGCACCAGCTGGAGGAGAAACAAGAGTACCAGGCTCCGACGCATCCATCACGAACCTGAATACACAAAAAGTAAACTACCCCATTTACAGTGGCCTCAAACACCGCGACAGCAGCGGGACTGTCCCGCTGCTGTCGCGGTGTTGTCTTCAGTGTGAAGGCTCGGACCCGTTATAAACTATCGCGGGATAACACCGCCTCGCGATAACGCCGCGACAAACTATCGCTAGGTTCGCCTAGCTACAGCAGCGGGACAGTCCCGCTGCTGTCGCGGTGTTTACTCAGTGTGAAGGCTCTCCGCTATAACACCGCGACAAACACGTGTGATTTGTTTACTTACCTATCACTGACCTCTTTTCTCCAGCAATGGGGAACATAAAGTGAAATAGAAATAAAGTAACCAGTGGATTCAAATTATATTTATTATTATGTAGATATTATAATTATCCAAATAAAAATATTTCACACTTCAAAAAATTAAAATATTCTGACTGGAAGCAATAAAAATGCTAGTTTTTTTAAAAAGTAATATGATCGAGGATACAAAAAGCAACTTGACATGTTTACGCGCTGAAGTATTTCCGGTCATATCGGGGTCACTCGCGGGTCATGAGCCATGCATACACGTGTTTGTTACGGAGGTAATAAAAATCACCCGCTGCAGCGTGAATGGGTACATGATATTCACATGATATTCCCGCTGCAGCAGCGGGATAACTTTTCTACTGTGAATGCATTTGTAGCGGTGTTATGGCGGTGTCGCCGCTCCGCTACAACGCCGCTACAAATTTCAAAACCACTGTGAATGGGGTACAAGAGAAACACCAGACAAACGGAGCGAGCGAGATTAACTAACTCCCCGCTCACCAAATTATCCAACCAACAGTTTCAAATAAAATGCAAGTAACAAAGAGAAACGCCAGACAAAAGGAGCGAGCGAGCTCAACAACTCCCCGCTCACCAAATTATCCAGCCAACAGTTTCAAATAAAATGTTTTTATATCAAACTAAACCCAACGCATGCACGCAAAATAAATCCAACAATCACGAACACAACAAAAGGCCGCACCGCAAAAGCAGTGAACCACGAAGCGAAACGAACTAAGTTGGAACAAAGGGCGATGAATAAATTACTCGCCAACCCAACCAACGGACGTATAACGCCAAGACCCAACGCCTTAACCAGCGGCGTAACGAAGTCTGAATTTACGATCGCGAAAAAGGAAATATGCGGTGCAGAAATGAAACTCAAATTTCCGCAATAATAAAATGTGACTAGGGAACCCGCCCCATAATATTAACAGCCTTTATTATGAGAACGGAATTCAATTCGTAAAAAGAGCTAAGCCCAACGAAAAAAGGACTAAATCCTTGATTTTAATGTGACTCAGCTGTATACGATGTCTATCTCGGTGTGCGAGAATAGAAAGAGGATGAATGGCGGGCGTGCGATGCGCACGTGAAGGCGATGTATGGGGGTGGGCGCATGCGCGATTGTGACTTTTTAGAGTGTTCTCGAAGGTGGCGTAGTTTGGATAAACTAGCAAATAATAGGTAGATACATTGATTTATTGTGGTAAATATTCACAAGTGTGTAAAGTGGCTGTTTGCTCCCAAATATGTCACATACTCTTTATTCGTTGGATGAGTAAAAAAAAACAAAAAAACTCAGCCTCTTCGAAGCTGTACTCGTCTTAGGAGCTATCTTACTCTTTGCATGCGTGTTAATATTTCGCTGTTGAATATTCGTAAGCGTTCGTGATCGTACGTACGTATACCCGATCGTCACGTTTTTAGCGGCCGACAAGCCACAGAATAAGTGTAAGTAGATTTGATTTTTCTTAATTTTGAATCAGTTAGTGGTAAGGGGATCCCTTGAATTTTATTCAGACTTTTTCTAAAACAAGTTAAGGCTACCGATTAGATATAGAATCTAGATATAGTGCTGAAATTTTGAAGCTCTTCTTGTGCAAGACCGAAGTGTGGAGTGCATGGCGAAAGACCTCCATTTTTACAGTCACAATTTTACTTCATAATTCTCGTTCGAGAATATATGACAACCCGCCCGCGCATGTAATTTGTCTTAGTGCGAAACACTAGGATTTTGTCGCACAGAATCCGTCACAATCTCCGCAATCGATTTGTTGATTGGACCTCGGTCTTTATTACTACACGTCAATTTTGTACTTTTGTGAATCATCTTGGTGGTTTTTTATCATATTTCTCGACATGGAAATACATGGTTTTGACGCTACCGTGACCGGCACCACTGACGGCACCCCGACGGCACCACTGCCGACAGCTCCGGCGTGGCCGGGAAGGATCAGCGGCAGAAAAAGGGCCGTAAGAACGGTGATATAACCTGACTGACTGAGTAATTGAAGCATTACTCACTAGTTGAGTTGGAGCGATTTACTCACAACATTAGGTTAAATAACTCACTTATTTAAAATACTCATTTCCCATGATGATGTCAAATTAACAAAACTCATTCCTGTGCGTTATTAAACTAAATTTAATGAGTTAATGCATTCAGTTAAGTGTGTCACTATAGTGTCAACATTTATTTGCCTATTTGAGTAAGATTACCCAAATATTTCTTTGTGTGCACTGGGTCGCTCCCTTACCTTCCAGAACCACACTGCCAACACAAAGGCAAAAGTTGAAGCCCACAACAGCTTCTTCAAGAAGCTAGCCAACACCAACTGGGGGACTGATGCCAAAACAACCCGGACAAAAGCCCTTGTGCTTTTCTTCTTTGCTGCGGAGTATGCATCACTAGTATGGAGTAGACATGCCCATGCGCCCAAGATTGACCTAACTCTAAATTCACCCTGCAGAGCAATTACTGGCTGCCTTAGGCCAACTAAAGTAGAAGACCTCTACCTGTTTTGTGGTATTGCCCCGCCACTCATCAGAAGGTTGGTCTTGTCCCAGAAAGAAAAGGACAAACAAGAAAACAATAAACTCCACCCACTTTTCCAACAACAACCAGTGGACAAGCGGCTCAAATCCAGACACGTCTTATTACCAGCCCTCACAACCGAAGGATGACTTTGTGGTCTAACCACTCAAGACCACTCTTCACAACTCTCCCTCAGTCCGAAGGAATCCCTTGCATCCGGCTCCAGCGAGACTTGGCTTTCTTGGCTGAGCCTCAACCGCCTAAAAACTGGTTACGGACGATGCAGTCCTAATGCAGAGGTGGGGTTTCGGAGACGAACAAACATCATGTGAATGCGGCCAAGAACAGACAATGGAACACCTGCTAGTCTGCCCACTCCTGTCAGAGCCATGCACCCAAGATGACCTGGAAGCCGTTAACTGCCGTGCCAGAGCCTGCGTGGAGCACTGGACGGGATTTGTGTATGACTCGATAAGAAGAAGATCTATTTACTCAACCCTGGTACTGCCGTTTTTACAACGTCTCCACGCTCCAGAACCTCGTAGTAGCCGACGTCGGGTACCTAAATCGAAAGCTCGCTAATGAATTCTTGCTTGGGGTAAATCAAACACCACATACCGTGCGTCCCCAAAAAAACTATACACTTTTGAAATGGCTGCCGAATAAAAAATATATAATTCTGATGGAAAAGTTTTATATGTATGGAACTTTCATATGACATCAAAAAGTCAGAAAATAATTCATGCTTAGGTGAGCACTGTTCACTTTCAATTCCGTAAGCTCTAAAGGATTTACCTCTCACAAATTGGAAGGCTAATTCTTGCGCAACCTTATTTTCATACCCTTTACAAAAGTGACCAGTGCTCACCCAAACATTAATTTTTTCGGACTTTTTGGTGTCATATGAAAGTTGGGTTTATGAGCTTTCCATACATATACAACTTTTTCCCCAAAATCATATATTTTTTAATTATTAATTCATTTTTGGGAGCACAGTATATAAATAGCATACTTCTCTTACAGAACGTATGTGTACTAAGAGTGATAAATAATGCTAATTATATACCTCACTTAAGAAATCCAGCCAGCTGATTGGTCGAAATTGCAGTCGTCGTTTTAGCCATTCCCGTAAATAAACGAAAAATGCCAAACCCGTGTAATAGTTCTAGCAAGGATACAACCCGACCTCGAGCTAAAGGGCAGAGTCTGTCCTCAAACTGAGGATAAAGTCTGGCCTCCGCTCAGGATCAGTCGGGGGCCGCACGCGACTGAGTGTCTGTCCTTGCCGTTACGTAAGACGAGGGCAGACTCTCTTGATGAGCGAGGCCCTGGGTTTATGCAAAGTCCGACCTCCGCTCGGGATCAGTCTAGGGTCGCACGCCGTTACAGTGACATACTCTCTAGACGAACTTGGCCCTGGGCTTACGCAATAGAAATTCCAGAATTGCTCGAGGACGAAAAACAACAGCTTAAACGGAGGACGCGCAGGCACAGCCGAAAAACATGTCGTAAATCTACTCAAGGACTATAGAGTTTGACTTGCACAACAAGCAGCAATATATACCGAAATAATAATGAACTATGTACATGATACAGACATATCTAAATTCGTTACAATATCATACACAGGACTAAACTACTGGAGCAACATTGATCCGTATTTCAAACAGCTTAAAAACTGTGGCAGCTTCAAAATATTATTAAAATTAATCTATTTTGTCCCGACCTTGAATATTCCATTCTAATACTTCTCTTCCTATTTCTCTATTTTATTATATCCACCATTCATATCATTTCATTGTGTTTGTCCGTATACTTTGCTATACTTGATACTCGCTTCTTTTCTTTTTCTTGTTAATTATTTCACTTCTGCTTGATTATGAATGACACTGTGTCAAAATGATTGTGAGGAACTTAAACTCTGCAAAGTACAGGCTATGCTTTTTATGAAGTTTCTTAATTCACATGTTATTTCGAAATTATGCAGTGTAAATGCAATACAATCGTATGCTGTGTAGATGCCTTTAGTTGTTCATGAATATCAATTTTGTTAATGTATTGTATATGTATTGTATCGAATATGAGGTGACGGTTATCCGAATATATGTATTTCAAACTTTATTGGGGCTGCAGTCCTACCGCCCTATCGTCGTATAGTTCTGCACTAACAATACCTATCTCAAACCATTCTTTTAATATCAATGACTCTCTTGAATATGCACTTTCTGGTCGGAACAGTATTAGCAAGAGTTATTAACCCCAAAACATACCTTGGTCGGTGCAGATAACCCCAGCATCATTCTGATGGTATTCACAGTTCTCAGGGCCAAACACGCGATGATCACAGTCTTCAAACGCCGCCTCGTAACCATGACAACTAACGGCGTCGATTGGCTGATCCGACGACCCTGAGCCGAAATACGATCCATCGAACGCTTCGCTGGCGGTGAGGTAGCCGAGTTGCCGACACACCACGGTTGCTTTTCTTAAATCGCCCACGGTGTCGCAGATGGTTGACCATTGACCGTCGTCGTAGTATTCGACACGCCCCTGTGATGACGTAAATCCATCGACCAGGCGGACGGCACCATGCTCGGCTGAGGGAAAAAGAAAGAATATGAGATTCAGGAAACAACCAATATTCGTTCAGTCATTCTTTTTCTTGTAAAAGTAAAACAACAGCATGGAATAAACAATAAAATATACTTTCCCATGAAAGAAAAGAAAACAAAAAGCATTGTGTTGTTCAATGTGCTTTCTAGATGAAAATACAAGTTTTCTGCATGAATAAACAAATGAATATTGGCTATCAGTCAATACATTTTAAATATTCATCAATAAAAACAATGGTCCTATTTGAAGAATACCTCTATCACACTTGTTAAACTGGTGTCAACTTGAACGCTGATGTTTATTCTTCAGTTTGATACAATGTTGTTGCAGTACCAGAAATCTGACGTTGAATATAACGTGGGTGATTGTGAAACTCGGTTCAAATTACAGGTGTACCCAAACTCAATGGAGGGCAATACAGGTCCTCATCAATTAAGCTCATATTTATCATTTCTCCGATCATGAACTTAATATCAAAAGTAGATACCGGATGTTGAAAAAAGGGAGACCACCCTGGGCCATGCTAATTGTAATTAATGAATGGTAGAAAAAAGATCTTCCAGAACCGCTCTTGTGCTTCTGTGAAGGTGTTGTATTCTTACCTAGTTTATTCCCACAGCGCAACCAAACATCCGTATCATAGGTACATGATGATGAAGGATTTCCCCATTCCCCATGAGCGCAGTTACCAAGAGTCAACTCATACCCGTAACAGCTCACTGCATCCAACTGAATAACACCCGATCCGGGGGTGATGGATGTGGCGAATCCAGTCACCATGTCGTAGCCGAGATGCCGACAGGCGACCAGGGCTTCGATGTCCGAAAAGGAATCGTCATTACAGATCGTGCCCCAGTTGCCGCCATGGTAGATCTCGAGTATGCCTTCGTTTTCCCTCGCACGATCCTCTAACCGCATTGTGCCTTCAAAAACTGCATCAGAATAGAAACAAGGACAGACAAGAAGATAGAAACGAAAGGATAAAAAGAGAATTTTGAAGAGTACAATGTATGAAAACATAAATCAATGATAACAGTTTTTTTTAAATAAATCTAGTAGTTCCTATTTCAAGGGTATATGTCATCATAGCTGTCTGCAATTCATAATAATGACCCCAAAAATGTCAAGAGAATGAAACTTGACAAACAGTTCTGTTATCCATACTTTCATTGGCACACTTGACACCGGCGTCATCCAGGTGAGTTTTGCCGCAGTCCCCGACTCCCCATCCGTCGTTCTCACAGTCAAGGAGATGCTCCTCTGTTCCGTTACATCTTACGTTACTCAACATCACAATCTGATCAAGGTTGCCTCCTCCGTAGTAGGAGTTCCTGGTCGCAAGGGTAGCGAACTCGAAGGCGAGCTGATGACATGCAACGTTAGCATCTGAAAATATCATGCGTAAGGATAGGGGGTTAAAAAACAATTATTATTGTTTAAATTGAATTGTGTTCAGACAACTTCATTTTGAAAACGGCAGTTTCCAATTATACGAAATATACTAATGAAAGCTAACCTTAACATTTTTAAAGATGCCGTCACGTGATGGTATATAAAATAATGATATTGGATATTAATATAGCGCGCGTAATTATCCGCCCCCGGATAACCGGCCCCCGGCCCCCATACTACCACCCCCTAGGAAAACTACCTCCAGAACAACTTTCCCCGGGAAACTACACCCCAGACAACTACCCATGGGACAGTTGTCCGGGGGTAGTTGTCCTAGAGGATGGTTGTCGTAGGGGGTAGTTGTCCGGGGGGTAGATGTCCTAGGGGTTAGTTGTCCAGGAGCTAGTTGACGGGGGTAGTTGCCCGTGGGCTAGTTGACCGGGGGGTAGTTGTCCTATGGGTAGTTGTCTGGGGTAGACGTCAGGGGGTTGTTGTCCCGGGGTGTAGTCGTCCTAGAGGGTGGTTGCCCTAGAGGTAGTTTTCCTACGGGGTAGTTGACTGGGGTGGTTATCCGGGGGTTGATGTCCAGGGGGTAGGTGTCCTAGAACCATCTACCATACATGGTGCTCAAGGTGCCATAACTATTACCCCGGCTCTTCTAGGCAGTCGATTTCGGCATTCACAGCAGTCAAGGAATTTCTTTCTACCGATACCCATTTTTGACACCTGGGTGGAGAGTAGCAAATGTAAATTAATATCTTGCCAAAAGACATTAGTGAATTCATGTTTGACAAAGATTTTGTGTGTGCGCCCCAAACTATTCCCATAATATTTACGATAAAAAACAGAAAATGCAATAAATTTTCAATAATTTATTGCATTTTACCCCAGTCCCCAACATAAAAAAAATCCTCTGGACGGCCATGCATTATGGCTCAAGGCATAGGCACACAGAAGATTTTTACATATTGGGAACCGGGGTAAAATGCAATAAATTATTGAAAATTTATTGCATTTTCTGCGTTTTTTTTAATTTATGGAAACTGCCCCCTACCCTAGCCCCCGCTGCGTACAGTCATGGTTCAGTGACAAAGCAATGGCCTCGTAACTGTGAGGCCCCAGGATCAAAACCGTGTCGATGTGCTATATTAGTGCCCTTTTGTGGGGCATTAATCCTCATTACTGTCATTTATGACTTAAGGGCATAGGTCCCCTAGTAGATAAGCATAGTAGCATACACATGCTTTAGCAGTCACGCAAAACACACATTGGCAAATTATTATTGAATAAAATCTGAGAATGTATACTATTAGCGAGATCTATTATTTTTAAATTATTTTTAAAATGATTCCATAAATTGGGATAAAAAAAAAAATATTCCACCTTTATGAGCGACAGTGTAATAGTTAAAATTATTATCCTTGATGTATATTAATTATTTGAATCATTTGCTATAATGTATGGTACTAAAAGCGCAATGAGAATGATATTGAATGCCATAAAAGCGCAAGCAATCAACGTTACAGAGGGCAATTTTGGCAAATTTCTTCTTGAAATACCATATTTAGGGCAAGTCCTCTTTTTTCGTCATAATTATAATCATTACCTTAAACAAAAAGGATGAAACAATTTTATCATCTAATATTCATCATCCTGGATGTGACTACATGACTAGACGTGACTATCCTCCCCCAACTCAAATAATACAAGGTGTTTAATTTCCGGACTTGGTTTTATTACCAGTACTATTTCTTACCTTGTATATCCCATGAATGATGACAGATAGTACCCCATGCATTGTGACGTACTATTTGAATCCGACCTTCTGATTCGATACCCACACCTGCTCCGATCAGTCGGATATCTCCTTCGGTTTCTAACGTGCATAAATTAATCATTATTCTGGTTGAATATTATTATATAAATGGCGGATTTTAAAGGGATATATACACTAATACCAATAAACAATGGGTAGATGTATAATTAATGAAAATCTGATTAACACATAATAATTATGTAATGCAGAAAAGAGGGAGAGAAATAGAGAGGAAGAAAGAGAGAGAAAAAAAGAGAGAGACTTTTCTGCATTTTCAAATTAGTTAAATTATACTCGAAATTAATGTAGTATTCTTGGAATAAATAAACGGTATAATAATAGACGCGCTTGAGTTAAATGTGTATAACAAATACTTTGCATATTCTGTGCGATTAAACTTCGAGGTCCTTGGAGAACTTTGGAGTTTTTTTGTTTCGTTCATTTCAAACAAAAGAAAATTTCACGAGATTGCCACTTTCAATGTCTTATTCTTTTATAATAGAATATTTGTAATGATTTATTTACATAGATAACTCCGATATAGATATAATATTAACAAAACGGCTGACATTGTGATTACTTTGCATTGCGTCTTTTTGCAAGTTTGCCTTATGACAGATGATAATATGGTGTCGACCTTACAATAAGACAGAAGTTAACTCATGCAGTGCCAAGCATCAGCAATGATCTCTTAATTATGCAAAGTGTTACTGCTGGTAAAAATATTTGAAGAAAAAGATTTCTTACCATTTCCGTAAGAGCAGATAAGCCCGACATCCAAGGAATGATCACAGTCTAGCACTTCATCTCCCCAGCTCCCATCACACATAGTCAGACGATCCTCTACCCCGACACACCTCGCATCAGCTAAATTTATGGGTATCTCTGAGTTCCCGCCAAAATACGCACCGTGCATGATAGAGACAGGCTTCCAACTGAATGCCACACTGCCGTAGCCGAGCTGATGGCAAACTACTTGTCCATCGGTACTATCGAACAGACGACCACAGACGGTTCCCCATCGTCCTCCAGAGAAGATCTCCACACGACCTTCGTACGCGTTGGCACCGTCAACGAGTCGGACGTCGCCCTCTGAAATGAAATTGCACATGTTGGATAGTGTCACAGGAGTATTCTCAAAGCTTTTCAAAGAATGTGGTTAGTCCTACCCTACCATGTCTTTTCTTTAATTACTGATGATACTTATAAGACGAGTTTGTATTGATTCCATCATAACCCATGTTGTGGATTTGAGTAACATGCGTTTTGGAGTTGCCCTTCACTCCAAAAGGAGAACAGTATCAGGTTTTAGTTCTTTATTAAATAGGCAGATCCAATGTGCTTCGGAACGACCGTCCTTTAAAAAAATGTATTTATTTATTTATTATTTATTTTTTAAATGTGTAAAGGATATAATAACTTGCTAAATTCCGGTTTGGAGAAAAATTTCGGCCCTCGTCATGTCGCGTCGGTGGGATTCCTGAAAGCATATTCCCAGACAGGGTCAAAATGTGTAAATTTGTTTTGTTTCTATTAAGTAAAATCAATGTCTGGTAAATTTTGCAGCCCCTCCATTCTGAAAATCCTGAATCTGCCCCTTTCGTATCAGTGTGCGTTTTGTAATTTCTTTACACGACCTTTACACCAGCATCGATATTAATGCATGCACTATGTTCTGATTAGTTTGCACTATGAACATAACTGACAATGAAAGCGGACAAAATATACAGTTCCTCAGGTGGACAAAGGAACATCCCTTCACTGCTATTATGTAAAAATGTGTAGAACAGGTGTCACATGCATATTCAACTTTTTACATAATAGCAGTGAAGGGATGTTCCTTTGTCTACCTGAGGAACTGTATATTTTGCCCGCTTTCATTGTCCGCCATATTCATAGTGTTAGGGGAGCCTTCCAAAGTTGCGACTGTGCCCGGACGCGTCGGGGCGCGATGAATAGAACAGTCGCGTCTCAAGAGACGCATTGAGGCGCAAAGGGGCGCAATAGTCACCCTCACCTGATTCTTGCATATGAAAAGAAACTGTCTATTGTTGGTATAAACCCGCTCTATTCTTCTTGCGCCCTTTTGCGCCCTACCAGGCGATGGAAGATTATCTTTCCCGTCATTGTTCTCGCTCGGGATGCGCGGTACAGCTTAAACTTGATATATAGAAAGTATTTGTCGGCCAAAGCCTGTCTTCCCCTCCTCCGGTTCTCGTTCTGATAAACATTCCATTGTTTGTAAAAACTTGATGTATTCTTCTCGCGTCGCGATCTATTCTTCTCGCGCCGTTTTGCGTCGGGCGGGGTATTATCTTTCCAATCATTGTGGAAGCTTTGCGATGTACGTACATTGCTACAGCACAGCATGAACTTGTCTGGTGGGAGCGTCTTTGTTTTGGGGGGCAATCAACACACTCGTTCATCTTGATCAGAATAAATTATGATTTTATTTTTGTTGGGTTTAATACACCTCCTTTTAATTTTTGTGACGACTGTATGAAATGTGAAATAAAGATGACTATGTACGTTTAATGGCTGTTTAATTGCGAGCTTGATTGTCCCCAACAACAAAAAAATAAAAGGCGAATGATGTGAATGAATACATGTATGCGGTTATAGTCGGCAAATAGATTACTGTTTAGGACGCTTGTTATGTTTGTAATTTGAATGATTATCAACATATTTGTATAATTCCCACATCGCGATATTATTCTAGCGTCCTAATAATGGACAAAGGAATTATCTTTCTCTCCCGTCATTCATATTCACGCTACGCGTTGCACATTGCCACAGTCTGAGCTTGGAAGAACTTATATTTTGTCAGTAAAATCCTCTTTTTTTTTCTTCTTCTCCTCCCTTGACTTGGTTCTAATAAATTGAAGGTTTGCTTTTTAGGGATAAGAAGGATAACATCAAACAAAAGCTCTACTCAAGATGACGCTCTTTTCATTTCACCTCGCTGTTTGATAAAGTAGAGTTCTATATGGAGCGAATACAAAAGAAAAGTTCGCTCTAAAGGAAAAAACATAAAATGCTGTGGCAGGATTTCATGCCCGAGATTTGCCTTCGAAAATTGCCCGTCCAAAATGCGTTTTAAATCATAATAATTCCATAGCTGTTTTTAAAAGTGGAATGAATAGAAAAAAGAGTCTGGGAACTATATCGAGATTATAAAACATGTGTGTCATGAAGATGTAAAAAAAAAGCGTAGCCTGATGGCGATAAAGTTGAGCAGCAAATGGAAATGCCATACAAAACATTAATCAGTTCATGGTAATAATTTATCATTCGACTTCTACTTTGCGCTATATGTACTAAATGATCGCAAAACGGGCAGGGACACAAATACAAACATCGATTTCTGCTCTAACATTCGAATCATTTATTCGTAGATTTGTATAATTAAGTGGCGAAAGTGAAATTTTGAAATCATACTGCACAGATACAAAAACATACCAAACATGTTTTGATTCTTAATAAAAAAAATTAAAAAAAAACGCAAATTTTAAAAGATCTTTTTAAAAGGAGGGAGGCGCTTTAGCCCAGTGGTAGAGCAGAGCAGCTCGTAACCGGGAGCTCCCTGGTTAGAAACCAAGTCGATATGCTAGTGCCCTTTGGTAAGGCATAACTCAATATTACATTTCGTTCGGAGAGGTCTTAAAGCCGCCGGTCCCCTGTTTGCCTAATCCAGAACATACACATGCTTCATATAGCAGTCACGTAAAAAAAAAAAAAAAAAAAAAAAAAAAAGCAAACGGTACAGGAAGCTACCTTTTATGGATAGGCCTAAATTGAGGTTTGACTTAACTAGGGGGAAGAAGGATAACATCAAACAAAAGATCTACTCAGGATGACGCTCTTTTCATTTCACCTCGCTTTAAGATAAAGTAGAGTTCTATGGAGCGAATACAAAAGAAAAGTTCGCTCTTAAGGAAAAAATATAGAATGCCGTGGCAGGATTTCACGCGGCCGAGCAAGGCTATTGTTTGATCGCTATAATTGTCCGACTTGCTATAGATTCTTGTTTAGGTACACTATTAAAGGTAATACAAAGTTTTGGGAAATTTTGAAAATAGGGTGGATAGTGATTCTTTACAATTTTGATATATTTGGATGCCCCTGTGAATGTTTTATACGCACTAGAAAATTTAGCCCCTGAAACACTTTTGCTTTCGAGAAAAATTGAATACAAAATTTACCGGTGCTCCCGGTAAATTTTGATAAATTTCACAAAGCGCCTACGGCCGTACAATGGCAGCTGCGACCATGAAAATTTCAGAATATGTAGTTGTGATACATAATTTTTAGAAGGGAATAGCCAATCGGTCTTTTTTAGTCAAGAAACATTGTTTTTTAGCTTAATTAATATCTTGACCTTAAGAGGGAGCTATACAACATAAAGAGTTTATTATTTACAATTTCATAACTTTAGACTCGATTTCAACCGCGACACGATCACTGAATATTGAAAAATCGCATATGCTTCCAATATGTTAATTTGAACCAAATGCATGACCCCATACAAAAACTTTCAATTACCTTTAAGGCTGCGTATTATGTGTGTGTGTGTGTGTGTGTGTGTGTGTGTGTGTGTGTGAGGGAGGGGGCGGCGAAGTGAACGGCCGGACGTAAATGGCAGAGGCCCATCAGGAGGGCTCCGCTCGCTAGTTATAAGGAGCGCTATTCATTGGACAACTATTCATGAAGACCGCTATTCGTAATTTGAGAACATGGTCATTATGCATAAGGGTCATGAATTCGTAATACGATATCCCCCCTCCCCAAAACTAAATAAATAAATAGAAAACTAATGATACAATAACAAATAATGCCCGGTAATTGGTAATAGCCGCCTATGAGCGGAACAGTGGGCGCACCAACTATTAGCTGCTCAAAGAGCTGTCTTTTGTCATTGCGTTGCAATAACAATGTCCTTGTAAAAGTTACATGTACTATAATATCCGTATGCTATATAACACCCAATGTGAACATGACGTGTTCAGGCCTTATAACTATATACAGTGCACCAATGCAGTGCACGTTAAAACAAAAGACTTTACTAGCGCTAGCTAACAAATATGAAACGTCAAAACCTCACGAGCAATTGATGACAACAAATTGTTACGTCAAATGCCACCACCAATACAGTTTCTTCGCGAAGAAATATTCGATCGAATTTCATGTTTAGAACAGATATAGGCGATTTCGAATTGTTCGAGGTGAAAATAACGAACATCGTGTCCGATAAACACTCCTTCTTTCTTCAAGGTCCCATACGATTCAAACATAATTTACAATGTTGATTTGCAAATAATAATCTCTCTGGGAGAATATCGATTTCCCCGATAATGCAGATATTCCTTTTTTTTTCGTAAAATTAGTTTTATAATTTTGCAGGGAGACAGTGTTCCTTATGATTCGAGCAGAATTTTGGTGAGTGCATTTCGAAAAAGAGCGTCTTCTATCTACCGAAACGTTTTGATGATGCAGGCTCCCGACAGTACGATTATCATTTTTATAATATCTTTAATTTGCAGATGTTTGTTCGTTTCGTATGACATATTTATAAGCGCCCTATAATCTTATTTCAAGCAGAATCTTACAATGTCTTTGATTATAAGTATCATTTTTAAATCACGGTTTTGAAATACAATAGCTGATTTTGCGAAGATTTAGAGAACCTACGTTTCTATTCTTTAAATCGATCTTGCATGAGAAAGAACAGATTGATGATATAGATATATGACCTATTTTGATCGGATGACAGAACAAAATAACGCAATATGAAACAATAATGTGTCAAAACATACAGAAGGAATACAATTATACATATCATTTCTGTTTTGTTCGTGAACAAATTAATATAATTGAAGTATTGAACACATTAATGAACAGAAATGAACAATCATGCCAACGTCAATGCCTAAAAAACGTCGATGTTGGGAGGGAAATTAACAATCAGAATAACAATCTAAATCAATGTCATGTACGTAAAATAATAATGAAACAAATCAGTAGCCAAAGTGAAAATTTCAGAGTAAAATCTTTCAAGACGAAAGCGGACACACACGCGGGGATTACATGAATAACTAATGCGTCGGAACGGGC